CAAGTCCCTAAGAGAAAGAGAGGAAGAGAGGGAAGAAAGAGAGGAAGAGAGAGAGGAGGAAGGGAGAGATTTTCTTGTAAATGTCGAGGCGCTCGACGATGTAATTCCTCGAAGAAATAAAATCTTTTGCAGCTCCGTGGACATAGGCAATTTTGCCGAATACCGTAAATTCGTGTGTCGCTCTGATGTTTTTTCTCTGTGTGCAATTTTACTCGTTCCATTTTTTACTTTATTGTCGTCGTTTTTCACAACATCAACCTAGTATGCTTAGAGCTAAAAGAATATAAGAGAACACCATGGCCAAGATAAATAATTGCTTTTTATAGGCTGAGGTGGTAATTAAACCACCTTATGAATATGATTATGCAGATTCATCTTGTTCTTGAACGGTTGTATAAACTTTCAGTTTTATAGATTCTACAAGTGATCAGAAGTTATCCACTTTTGAGAAAGTTGCTAGTGTAAGAGAATCAAAACAGAGGACTATATATGATAGCAAAGTTGGAGTTTTTGCAAAAATATAAAACGTAGAAATTGATTCAACTCCTTAAAGTTAGAGGAACCATGGAACTCCTTAAAGTTAGAGGAACCATGGCTTGCAAATGGACCTTCAAGTACAAAGAAGAAACTTAACGTGAGATAGTATTAGATTTTAGCATTATTAATCGTAAACGACTTTAGCTAGAAGGAACATGCAAACTTCAAGAATGTTTTCTCATCCTTGTGTAAGCATAACTTGATTTACAATTTATTAGTAGAGATTATAACATAGGGGAAGACCGTGTGCCCAGAGAAATGATTATTATGAAAATTGAAAAAAAAAAAAAACTTGGTAAGGAGAGCGGCCAAATAATAACACATGAGAATTTATGTGAATTGGTAAGATCCAACTACATTTATAATAACATAAAAAATAAATATTCAATAGTTTAGATACAAATATTGTCCTGAATTATTTTCTTCAATTTTTATCGAACTAATATAATTCCATATATTTTTCCATATTCGCTTGAAATTTCAGCATAACTCCTCCATCGACTATGATCACTAGAGACACAGAAAAGTCTGTGGTCGCTCACGCCAAACCATTTCACTGGTCACCAGCACTTGTGACAGTCTCTCATTTTCTCTTAAAAAAGTTTCCAATTTCTAACTATCATATTTAAAAATTAATGGCCATTGTCAACCATCTAATAAAGAAATCCCATTGCATGACACAAACTAAGATAATTACCAGCTTCCAATCGCTCCAGTCTCATATTTCTTTGACCTCCACCACAACTCCTAGCTGAATGGAGGAGAAGAAAAAGTGATGAATTGCAGCTATTGATTTCATCTCCTCTTATAAAGCAACATATGGGGGACAGATATACAGAACATAATTGTACGTAAACAAATAAGTATGGTAGCCGCCAAACATGAAAATAAAAAATAAATTTGGTCAAATCTTGATCAAGATTTTCAAAGATTTAAATTGAAATTGAAATCAAAGTTGCATGTGATAAACATAGAAAAATTTAGTTCCATACCTCTTAACATCAGACAACATTTTCATTAATTTAAAATGATTTTGAAATCAAACAGGTACTTGAGCTCCAAACATTTTAACAATCTCCCAGTTGAACATTAATACGAGGTAAGCATTCTATTTAGAAAAATATATATACTGAAAAGGTTTTAGAAAGATTAATTATGAAGACTGGCGCTTATCTTTTTTGTACATCAGCGTCATCTTTTCCCCAATAAACCAAAGAATAATACGCTAGAATATCTTATGCTAGTGTATTTAGCAGTATTATGCTTACAGATTTGAATATCAATATATTATCGATGTTGTAAGCAGATGGATGGACAATGGATTTTGATTATCAAGCACATAATAAAACCATGAAATGGATTTTGAGGTATCTCAGAGGCACTACATGCTAAGATTTAATATATACCAAAAATTTTTAATTCTAATTATGTTTGTGATCTTGATAGGAGACCAAGGCCTAGGTATGCTTTCAGTTTCTTGGTGTGTGCCATCAATTAAAGGTTTAATTTTGTATGGATGTTTTAGCCAACACAAAGATAGAGTACGTGGTATTTAAACAATTAAGAAGGATATTTAGTTCAAAGGTTTAGTAGAAGAATTGCATTTGAATAAAGAACTTGATGTGATAGTTCGAGTACTATTTACTTGGCTAAAGACTAAATGTCTCGAGAGAGAATTAGGCATAATAATATTAGGTATCATTTCATCAAAGACAATGTTTAGAATGGTGAAATTTAAATTTAGAAGTTACGCATGAAGCACAATCTTGTTGACATGCTTGCCAAGGTGATCCATTTCCTCAAGTTTATGCAATGCCTAGACATAATTTATTTGTGCAACAATTAATACACTTTAGGACCTTTAGTTGAGAAGAAGTCTTTGGGCATTTAAGTACAAACTTGGTTATTCATTTTTTTTCTTAATAATATAGAATATTTTATATGTAGATTAATAGGTATTAATTAAACCATTAGCAAGTTTTATTAATTTTTTCTTCAAACCCTAATTACTTTTTGTAATTTAGTTGATTGTGGGTTTCTTTCATGAGACTTATAAGAAATTTTGTGGACAATAACTTAACGCAAACAAACATGAATGAGTGTGATCAAGCGAGGTACAACATTTATTTTCTCTGAAATGATTTCTCGCAATGCTTTTTTCTGCCACCAAATAGATGAGAGAGAGTGAGAGCGTGTGTGCGTGATAGCTCCAAGTACTATTGCTTGCAATTAATGTGAGAGAGTTTCTTTGCTTCACTTTATTTTTCTCTTCGAAAAATATTAGTTCAAATTTGGTGAGCTATTCTTTATTCTTCTCCGTTATTGTTTCCTTCTAAAAAAAGATTTTATATATTTTTTTATGTTCATTTTATTTTTACTCCAAATGCATGTAATGATGAATTATTTGTACCTTCAAGCCTCATGAATATAGTTCATTCTTAACTGAATTCATTTAAATTATAGGGTTCTTATCCATGAGATTATTTGACATTTCTCCATCACATATTTGTGGTGCTTAGATTTGTTTGTCCTAGATTAAAACAATTGTCATCTTTAGTGCAATTGTTTTAAAAATAAAATTCATATCAAAAGTTTCTCTCTATATGCACTATAATTTTTGTTCCAGATGAAATGTCATAAAGTACAATGGAGTAAATGTGAATATTGGATCAAATTATTCTGTACATAATAGATGTTAAATATCAATTTGGAGATAGATGTATATACCAAAATATACTTCCAAATCAACCAACAAACTAGGTAAAACCATAAAGCTAAACTTAAAGATTTATGATAAAAAATAATTAAGTAAAATTTTATGCTTGAGAAAAGCTCTTAGAATTGAAAATAAAGCATTAGAAAGTATGTTAGATTAATAAGTAGTTTACCAAATTTTCTATTTGCTTGATTGATTAAAGATCATTCAATATCACTAGTTTTTAGTGTTTATGAGATTCTTACCCAGATATCCAACATGGTAACATAGATTTAATAAAATTCAATGAAGACTAATAATACTAATCTCGATATCTGTAAAGGAAAGCAATTTTTACATTATGTTAAATCATGATAATTTGATTTTTTTTTTACAACAATAAAACTAAATATTCACCTAATATGCCGCATGACTGGCAAATGTTGAAGCATCATAGCTCTTGTTTTCCCATCTGACTTGAGTCCAATGCTACGCATTTTTCTGTACATTTGCCTTGCTAGGAGAATCTTGCCCCGCAAACAAAATCCTTGTACAAGTGCATTATAGAGGGAAGCATCAACCGGAATAACCTGTTGCATTGACGATAAATAAGTTCAGAATTTGATCATCGATGACAAGCATTCAAATACATAAACAGAGGAGAGCATAAAAATCAATGCAAACATAGACTCATATATAATATCAAAAAATTTAGGATTATAAGTGCAGATTCATAAATGGTTACAGGTTTTTATATGAGATAGGGCCATTATTGCTCTTATTTTACTTCTTTGTTTAGGTAAAAAAGGAAACTACCTTCTTTCGTGGTTCTAGCAATTTATGGCAATTGTTATCATACTGGCCTAATTGAGATCAACAATCAGAAACAAGCAGAGTTCATTTTTAATTTAAAATTAAAGTCTTAAAACACAAATTGTCAGTAGAGCTATATGGTGTGCTTCAGACAGATTATATTAGTTCAAATTTGGTCAGATATTCTTTGTTCTTCTCTGTTATTGTTTCCTTTTAAAAAAAGATTTTATAGATTTTTTTATGTTTAGGGTTTTTATTCCAAATGCATGTAATGATGAATTATTTGTACCTTCAAGCCTCATGAATATAGTTCATTCTTAACTGAATTCATTTAAATTATAGGGTTCTTATCCATGAGATTATTTGACATTTCTCCATCACATATTTGTGGTGCTTAGATTTGTTTGTCCTAGATTAAAACAATTGTCATCTTTAGTGCAATTGTTTTAAAAATAAAATTCATATCAAAAGTTTCTCTCTATATGCACTATAATTTTTGTTCCAGATGAAATGTCATAAAGTACAATGGAGTAAATGTGAATATTGGATCAAATTATTCTGTACATAATAGATGTTAAATATCAATTTGGAGATAGATGTATATACCAAAATATACTTCCAAATCAACCAACAAACTAGGTAAAACCATAAAGCTAAACTTAAAGATTTATGATAAAAAATAATTAAGTAAAATTTTATGCTTGAGAAAAGCTCTTAGAATTGAAAATAAAGCATTAGAAAGTATGTTAGATTAAAAAGTAGTTTACCAAATTTTCTATTTGCTTGATTGATTAAAGATCATTCAATATCACTAGTTTTTAGTTTCTATGAGATTCTTACCCAGATATCCAACATGGTAACATAGATTTAATAAAATTCAATGAAGACTAATAATACTAATCTCGATATCTGTAAAGGAAAGCAATTTTTACATTATGTTAAATCATGATAATTTGATTTTTTTTTTACAACAATAAAACTAAATATTCACCTAATATGCCGCATGACTGGCAAATGTTGAAGCATCATAGCTCTTGTTTTCCCATCTGACTTGAGTCCAATGCTACGCATTTTTCTGTACATTTGCCTTGCTAGGAGAATCTTGCCCCGCAAACAAAATCCTTGTACAAGTGCATTATAGAGGGAAGCATCAACCGGAATAACCTGTTGTATTGACGATAAATAAGTTCAGAATTTGATTATCGATGACAAGCATTCAAATATATAAACAGAGGAGAGCATAAAAATCAATGCAAACATAGACTCATATTAGTCATATATAATATCAAAAAATTTAGGATTATAAGTGCAGATTCATAAATGGTTACAGGTTTTTATATGAGATAGGGCCATTATTGCTCTTATTTTACTTCTTTGTTTAGGTAAAAAAGGAAACTACCTTCTTTCGTGGTTCTAGCAATTTATGGCAATTGTTATCATACTGGCCTAATTGAGATCAACAATTAGAAACAAGCAGAGTTCATTTTTAATTTAAAATTAAAGTCTTAAAACACAAATTGTCAGTAGAGCTATATGGTGTGCTTCAGACAGATTACCCCTGGCACTTTCTCAAACGAAATCACTTCTTCCACCAATCTTTTACATAGCCTATAGTATAAAGCCATCAATGCATTGGCTGTTTGAGCATCTCCTAAATTATTTAATATTTAGTTGAAATCATTCCATTATGTTAGGGCATGGCTGCTTACTTTAGTCCGGGTAAGGAAAACCATTCGATGGGTGTGCCATACTCGTACAAAGTGAAGTAAGTCTCCAACTACTCAATTCATGCATCCAGGTTCTCGACATCAACCATCCCATCAGAAATAGTAATCTTGGCTTCTTCTTTAATGTCCATATCCTTCCATCACAAGTGATAGCCACATTTTCTTTCATTCATGTTTGAAGTTGGCATGGAAGAGAAACAGAGGAGGAATGTAAATCAGACTGTCAATCACAATAGAAGTAGTTGTCTTCATCCCCAACCATCCAACATAATGGTAATTTGATCCATCAATCCAGATAATTAATTGGCTAGATTCATGGTAGAATCATTGTTAGCCATTAGTTGGCTTCCTTCCTCCTCTTTTTCTACTTGTCCATCTGTTTACTTGCTTTCAATGCATCTTCAAGATAAGAAGTAGGTCTATTGTGTCATTATATCATTTTTTTTTCATTTGCATCATACACTAAGGATTAGTGGTCTAATATTTTATTAGAAATTAAGTCAAGCTTAATTTTTGCACTATGATATCACGAGTGATAGCCACATTTTCATTCATTCATGTTTGAAGTTGGCATGGAAGAGAAAGAGAGGAGGAATGTAAATCAGACTGCAAATCACAATAGAAGTAGTTGTTTTCATCCCCAACCATCCAACATAATGGTAATTTGATCCATCAATCCAGATAATTAATTGGCTAGATTCATGGTAGAATCATTGTTAGCCATTAGTTGGCTTCCTTCCTCCTCTTTTTCTACTTGTCCATCTGTTTACTTGCTTTCAATGCATCTTCAAGATAAGAAGTAGGTCTATTGTGTCATTATATCATTTTTTTTTCATTTGTATCATGCACTAAGGATTAGTGGTGTAATACTTGATTAGAAATTAAGTCAAGCTTAATTTTTGCACTATGTTTTTGCTAACTTAAGAAACACTTCCACTTATCTTTCTTTTGTATCCTTTCGACACCGTTTCAAACACACTTCTTTAAATTTAATTTGGAATTCACAAACAGATTAGAGCAATCAATTAGCATTAGTAGGCAACTTTAATTGCGACAAATAGTGGCAATCAACATTATTAAAAATATGCTTTAAAATGGAAGCAAAGTATTGCTGGCCATGCATATTACTTGTCTGTGAAGCGAAATCTAGCAGCAAATTACACGAGTCATACCTACTTTGTGTCATAGTGCAATGTGCCTGGCTTGGATTAAAAAATCGGAAACAAAATTTTGGCTCAAATTTTACAGTTCGGTTTAACACCTGCTGTAATAATTCGGCACAAATGTTTACTTCTACTCATTGTTTCTTTTAGTCATAATTGTCGCTTCTCTTTAGTTATCTATTCACTTCCACTATAGCTATTCATTCTTAGCAGTTCATTTAATGTTCTCTTGCATGCTATTTTTCTTATATGCTTCTCACAAGCTTCTCCGCGATAATGACTATCGAATGGATAATATATTTTTTAAAAGATATTATCGCAGGTGGTTTAAATTTGACTAATTAAATGACATTTGTATGGCCTCTCATTATATGAGTGTTCTAATTTTTAAGTATTTTTTTTCATTACTTCACTATTTATATCATTGATTTTTTTTTTTGGGGTTTTCAGATAGATAAAATTATTACTATCAAATGGATAATATATTTTTTAAAAATTATTGTCGCAGTTGGTTTAAATTTGACTAATTAAATGACATTTGTATGCACATAATATGTGTTATGATATACGAGTCATGAATACTCCGGTTATTAAAAGCTTTGAAGGAAAAAAAAGCCTTACACATTACCTTTCATTTCGTGTTTGGAAAGCCAAGAGACAACACATACAGTGAAAAGTCATGAATACTCCGGTTATTAAAAGCTTTAAAGGAAAAAGAAGCCTTACACATTACCTTTCATTTTGTGTTTGGAAAGCCAAGAGACAACACATACAGTGAACTAACAACATGATAACAAAAGTGGAAGCAAACACAACAAACATTAGCTAACAGGCGGTTGCAACAACAAGCAATGAAAAAATGACAAGCTTAAAAGAGAAGCAACGATGAAGTAGAGTCTAGGCATTGACGATTGCCATAAAGGCAGGAGCAAAGAATAGAGAGTACGGGCAAACTGGTCAAAAAACATGGAAATGGGAAGGAAGAGATTTTATTTGGAGTTCAAGATTTTTTTATTGCTTTCACTGTAGGATTTTGAGCTTATAAATAGGCAATTTCAATTGGAATTGTAATGATCCATTCCTGAATGAGGCATGAATTATTCTAACCCGAGCTTAAGTTGAAATAAAAAATAACAAAAATAAAATATAATATTCAAATTCAAATTGATTTTGTAATTTGACAATTCAATTGAACAATCTAGCTTCTGAAGCTTTGATCTCCCTTGTATGTTGTTGAGTGACGATCAAAACAACCATGAAATCTTAGAAACATTCTCTTCAATATCAATGATTTTATCAGAGAACCAACTTCTCATGACTTGATGCAAATCATACTAGTAGCTTTGCCTTATGAACCTCTTTGAAAAAGACATTAGGATGCACTTCGATGTTTTGTTCTATGAATTCTTAATACCACTACATAGAGTTATTTTTCTATTTTCTCATTTCATGATTATGAAATGACAGGACACGAAAAAATTGCCTTTGGAATAGATTAACTACAGTTTTATACATGTAACACTTTGAAAAATTCACAGTACCTCTAAAATATTTTCCACTTTTGTCCACAAAGATCCCCAGATGCAAGCTCTTATTAGTGATAAGTACGTGAAAGTATCAGGGGTTTGCTTCTGGTCAATCATATGCTGATAGACTTGTAATGCAACATCAGGTTTCCTTGCAGTTTCACAAGCTCGAATGACATAATTATAAGATTTAGTCGAAATCTCCATTCCATTATTTTCCATCTGCCATAAGAGCTGCAGCGAACGTTCCCATAACCCAAGTCTCTGACATGACATCAAAGCTATGTTGTATAACTGACAATATGACGTAGAAGCTGATAAAGCTCTAAAACTCTCGAATAGTCTGAGCACATCGGCATATCGCTTACTCGTATATAGACCATTGAGCAGTGCACTCCATGTACAAGCATCAGCTTTCATCCCTGAAAGTTTCATGAATTCATAAACTTTGAAGGCAAGAGCTTCTTTCCCAGCTTTCCCAAGACAATTTATCACTGAGTTATAGGTTATTACAGTAGGCTTTATGCCACTTTCCAGCATCTTTCTAAGCATGTTAAAAGCTAAATCCCACTTTCCATCCTTAGTGCACGAAGCAACAATCGCCTTCATAATGTCCTCATCTGGCACCAATCCTTTCGTAATCATTTCATGGTAAGCTTCAAGAGCTAGTTCAGAGATACCACACTGCACAAATGTGCTGATTAATAAAGAATAAGTGATCATTGTTCCATTCAAGTTATTCTGCTTGAATTTTCTCCAAATCCTGTCTGTCTCAACCCAGTTTTTAACTTTCCCACAGATTGATATCATTGTATTGTATACAATTATATCAAAGATATGTTTAGATACTCCCTCATCTTCTAATGAACTGAAAATTTCCATGGCTGGTTTGTAACCTTGAGAATCAGCAACAGCTTTGAGTACTAAACTGTAAGTATGGCCAGTAGGCAACCCCTTCTTCCTCATCATCTCGAAAACTACCATGGCATCATCAATGTACCTGTTACGGATAAGACAAGCCAGCAAAGAGTTACAAGCATGCGCAGTGGTTCTAAGGCCGGCAATGTCCATAGAGAGATACAACTCAAGTGCACTTCTGACCTTGTTAGATTTACTGAGGCTCAAAATTCTTTCGGACAATATATGTGCATCTCTCTCCTCCAAAAATTGTAACTTAAGTTCAGAAATCTTGAATCTACTTTGAAGGTTAGAGGAGGGCACATTATCAAGCTCCTCGGGTATCTGCTGTTTATGAGATTCCTTGACGCTAAATTTCTCATTTTCTATTCTATCCAAAAGCACCAATCCTGTTCCTACTTGGCCAACTAAACCACAACAAAAGCTGGATTGTGCAGCAAGGCGTCCCCTTTGCACAATATAAGGCTTACGAAGTCTTCTAAAATCAGTTCCACCGATCATTGAAAATGAAAGCAAACAATGTGTGCAAGAAAATTTCAAAAAACTCCCGTGTGTAATCGAACCAAAAATTTCCATGTCCCGATAGAAACATCTTATATCAGGGATTCTATGCTTTCTAATCGACTTTCTTTCTGCTAGAAAACCACAAGATGAGGAAGGAATTGCGGAGTAAAATCGAAGCATCGCCGCTCTGTCTAACCATCAAAATTCCCTTTTTTTATGTCTGTACGTAGAAAAATCACTATTTTCAAAATATAAAACTTGAAGTAGAAATAGATTTGAAGCTGGGGGATGCTAAGATCACTGAGGAATTCAAACAAGCAGTTGTCGGGCATCTAGAAAATGGCGTCGACCTATAATACCATATCTGTAGTGTCTTCATCTTGCTTAGTGGGGGAATGGGAAGAAACTTCGGTGCTATCCTTCCTTTGCCCGCTTCAATGGCGCCGAAGAAGTGAAGAACCCCGCTCTCAAATTCGAGCTCCCTCGAAACTGAACACTCGGCCGCTATCGGATGCTAAAAAATAGGATTATTATGACCTTTTTTTTTTAATACATAATTTATATGCATAAATTTAAAAGCCAAAATGCTAATTATATAAAGATGAAAAATTTATGTGTGAGATAAATACGTAATGATTGTGTGCTAGAAATATAAAATTTTCTTTAAAAATTGCATTTACAAACATACCACCCGACTCTTATGTATTTATATATCTACCAATTAAATTTTACTTTTTTTTGTTTATACCACCCAAATATTTCATATCAAATAAAAAGTATCACTCTTTAAACTTCTAAAATGTGTAATATAGCAATTATACATGTAAAAATTGAAATTTAGGTGTTATATATGTAAATTCTTAGAAATTAAGTGGTTATATGTAAAAATTGACTTTTATGCGTCATGAATCTAAATATATTTAATAAAAACTATAAATTACATTAGAAAATTACAATGTAATGGAGGAAAACATAACTTTAAATAGGAGCAGTGCCACCCTAGAAAAAATATACGCATAAAAAAGATAAATTAAGATCTATTTTACTTGAGTTGCTAAATAAAATCAGGAAAAAAATAATAACACAGCTTTATTTGAGAAATGAATGATTGGACTACTTTCAAGTAAAATGAACCTTTATTTATTTATTTATTTATTTATTGTCAAATGAGTGCCAAGATGCCCAATGACATCTTATATTTATACATTTGTCATTTTGTCTGTGAATAACACCCAAAGAGAATAATATAAGAGAGAGAGAGTGTGTGCTCTAAGACAGACAGCTCTGCTATCGTGAAAATAAACAGGATTCCACAGGTTGGGAATCATAATCCGTTTATGTTGTTGGATCCAACGAGAAATTTTCAATATGCTTAAAAACATATTAACTACAAAAATTGCTCACCGCCTCTTTAATAAACTGTATTTTACATAACAAACTTACAAAATTACAGGCATGCATTCTCAAATAGTTTATACGCAATTTTGTAAAAGATATTTGAGGTGATCGAGTCTATGATATACTAATATTGCTATGAGGACAAAAAAAATAGTCCTTTTTACGATCTACTCTTTCATTGCATCCTATAATAATAAAAAATAGGTGCATTTACAAACATACCGCCCAATTTTTATGTATTTACATATCCAACACCTTAACGTTACTTTTTATATTTATACCGCTTTCATATCACGTCCAAAATATCATAATTTTAACTTAAAAAAAAAACTTAAATACACATTTTCATGAATATGGCAGCATACATATAAAAATTAAAGTTCAACAGTTAGATATGTAAATACATACAAATTAAATGATATGCCTGCAAATCTTCATATTATACAATAACCATGCATCATACGATATAATCCACCAATAAAAACAGAAAGCAAATAACTAAAAAAAATTCATTGCCCAAGGCAACAAAGGCAAGCTGCAAAAGCAAAATGCTGTAATCTAATAATATTTCTTAAAGAAGAATACTCGAATAGAAAAGGCATCCCTGCCTTCATCCCTGCTTCAAGTAGATACTTACAGAACAAACAATGCCTCACTTTGCTGAGAAAACTCTTTTTTCTTCCTCAAGAGATAAGCCAAACAAAGGCTATGCTCTGAAGGTTGGTCTGCTGACAAATTCAGAATAACTGGTTGAGACATTTGCTGTGCAGCATTAGGAATGGACAGTCTGCTTAAACAACTAAGGTATTTCATCTTCGTGGTTTTAAACAATAGGGTCTAAGATTATTTATCATCAGAGTAGAATTCAAAGCCCCAAAATTATGTTTTGCAGAGTTTAAGCTATATCTTGCTTGAAATAACTTTCTTTCCGCTTCTTTTCTGTTAATCAAATCATACGCTAGATAACTGAAGGTGAAAGAACTTAGCTATGATTGAGTAAATATAATTTCCATCATAGGGTAAAGTTTTCTGATGAAAACCAGAAAGATTCATACACTGCCCAGGAAGGAAGAATACCGCCCTTCAAGAAAGGTACTCATACAAAGAAGACATTTTTAGGACCGTTTACACTTTTGATTCTATTTCTGCTAATTTTTTTATCAAACTTTCCTAGTGATTCTACATGTGAATAATAGAAATGGTTTGCTAAATCAAAATGGAAATTTTCGGCATAATTGAAAATTCAAATCGAGCAAAGAAACTTATAATCTAATAAGCTAATAAAGGATCCACCTAGAAGCAAGAAAGAAAACAATATGGCTCATCTGTGCAGAGAGGAAAAAGGCAACATCCTGGTACCGACGATCGTTCTCCAGCCAAAAGGACGAGGAAGATGATTCTGCTGATCTTGAGTTTGGGGCAGCCATTGCAGCTGCTGCATACGCTATCATGTTGGAGGAAGAAAAGGGACTCTTAGGCAAGAAGAAAAGTGATGAGCTTGAAAGCTCCCTTACCAAGACCAAAAGCTGGAAGGAGGATAGAATAAACAGGTCAACAGACAAAAGAAAACTTTCGAGATGGTTCAGTGCCAAGGAAGAAGAAGAAGAAGAAGAAGATGGCAGAGTAGCAGGTCAGCTTCCATTTTTCCATAAAATCCCATTTTCGATTGTCTTCATTTGAAAGGAACAAACTTTAGCTGTGAACAACATAGAAGTGACATCAAGTAAGAGATTAAAGAAAATGTAAGTGAATTTTTTTGGCTCTGCATGAAAAAAAAATCCTTAAACTATTGATATCTCATGTTCAGGTGATAGTTTCAAGAGAAAGTTATCAGCATTAGATGAAAGAATGAAACAGAAATCTGCTGCAAATCTGAAGGAAAAGACAATGAGTTCAACTCCAAGCGTTAAAAAGACTCCACACACAAAAAAACTCGTGCCACCATATTCTAGCTATGGATTTCCTGATGGGGATAGAACTCAGTCAACAAACGGCCTAAAAAACGCAAACCTTTGGGAGCAGGCAAAAATGGAGAAAATAAGGAAAAGGTAGCAAACATATAACAGATTATTTCTACGTCTATTGAATGATTGGTTTCATGAAATTTATTGTTAATAACTGAAAGTGTTTTCGACATAATAAATTTCAGGCACGAAAAGATGAACAAAACAATTTTGCAATGGGAGAATGAGAAGAAGGTGAAAGCCAAACGACGAATGGAAAGAAAAGAGGTTTAACTTGGTTTACAAACTAAAGTTGATCCCTTTCAATCTAAAGTTTGAAAACTAAAGACCCGAAAAATCGGATCGGACAGGCCGGTTTGACCGGTTCAATGTTAACAGGTCATTCGACTGGTTCGGCCCAAGCTCAAATCTTTTTCTACACAATTCTAAATGATTTTCAAATAACCGACCAATTCTAGAATTATCGAATTATAGCCCTTTGATTTTGATCGGATGGCTAGAAATAAGATGTTTAAATTAAAAATGAAGAGAATGTCATATCTCAAAATGTTGGTACTCAAAATTTTCAAAAGAGAAGTATCCAAATCAATGAAATTGTTTGATTTTACCTTGGCATGAAAATTTTACTTGCTAACAACATATTCAAAATGGACATTTCAGAGGAAATTGGAAATGAGGCGCACTCGAATATTACAAGAATTCCGTGAAGAAATGAAAAGGATCGACATGATTGCTTCTGGAGCAAGAGCAGTGGCAGATGATACAAAACGAAAAGATGAATTAATGACAAAGGAGAAAGCAATAAAGATGCAGTCAGCCATGAAAATACGCCATAAATGTTTCTGTTTCTGATTTAAATTCACAAAACAATGGTTTTCTTCAAATTTCATTGTAAAAATTACTTACTGCGACAAACATTTCGAGAGAAGTGCCATGCTTAAAGATTGTCTTAATTGCTTCTGTTACTTAACTGAGTTAGACAAAACTGAACTTAAATTGAAAAAAAAAGGATAACTAAGAATAATTTAAAAAAAAATGGTTAAAAAGTAATAGCTTTTCAAGATAAAATATTAGAAAATAAATTTAGGTGATTTGTAATGCAAAAGGAAGTTAGAATATAAGGAATAAAATAAGCAAATAAATTTTATGTAAAAGGATTAGAAAAGAAAAAAAAAATAAACTAAAATTAATGACTGGAAGCTAAGAAAAAAATTTATATAAAATCTAGTTATTACCAAGTATAACAATTAGCGTTATATAACTACTTTAATTTTAGTACTTCTCATGCTTCAGTCAAAATTTGCACCTTCAGCATTTGTTACATAATTCTCTATAGAAGGCAACTTAATTTACATTGTTTTAAATCATTTTTATATTATAAATGGCTAATGTTGTACTGCAATCTAATAATAATATTTAGACTTATCAGTTCTTTACTTTTCTTTTTAGATGAACAATTTTCATAGGGTATATAAATGCATTCCTTGTTATCAATATTTAAAATCATTTTTTCGTAAGTAAAGTTTTTATTAATTAAAATATGGCTCTTCTAATTTTCAGTAACACCTCTACCATGCCCACATGTAAGATCAAGAATCAAGCATTGTATATCACATATTGCATAAGTCTCATCATACAGAAAATTCATAATTCAAATTTCAGAATGAAAGAGGAAAACTTACATAAACAATAGCACACAATTAACATTTCATAAAAATCAAAGATTGTACAAATTTTTCATAGAAAAAATAGATATAAGAGCACATTAATAAAAATAATATTAATACAAGCTTTCCCACAAAAGATATACAGTTCCAGTCTTATTTAATACATATAAGAACAATTTTAGATATTTTTACATTATACCAGACATTTAGTAGCAATTTGAACAAGAGCATGCAACTAAACAGACAAATCATACCAATGATGCTGGTTTGGCTTCCTGGAGCGAAATCACAGTCTCGAAAGCACCCACTAAGGCTTTCACCTTACTCTTCTTGGCCTCAACAAGCTTGCTTGCTGTTTCCTCAATCACATAATTGAGAAGGCCTCGAATCTCCTTCTTCACCTCTGCATCTTGATACTTAAAAATGCTTGTTTTAGCTTTTGAATTGACCTTCTTCATCGTGGCAGCGCGAGCATCTGAATTATGTTCTTTGGAGCCTCCAATGTCTCTCTTCCTCCTGAAGGTTCTCTTTGTGGCTTCAGCATTGGAATTTTCACCAAGGACTCTCCCTCTATTGAATCTAAGCCTTTTCGGGGCAGTAGTATCAGGTGTTCTGTGTTCAAGCACTTTGCCTCTTTGAAATTTTAATTTGTAAGGAGAGGAAGAGTTGTCAGCTAGTTGTGGAGCAGCTGAAGTCCTTATTGCATGTCTCTTATCTTCTTTTTTTGAAGCAGTACTAGAGGCGGGTGCGGTAGAACAAATAGGAGTCTTTTGAGGCTTCAATAACTTCATTTCCCCAATTTCAGGCTTTTCACTACTGTTTGCCCTTTTTTCTTCCCGATTCATCCTATTATTCATGCTTTTGGAAGTATTCAATTGAGATTGGGACCTCATCAATGGAGTTCTCACATTCAAAGGTATTGCAGGCGCTGCAGTACTATTTGCTTTTCTAGAAAGAAGTGAATCGTTTTGATTATTAGTTTGAAGCTTAAAAGATGCAGATTTTTTTATGATAACTGAATTCTTTTGTTTCATCACTTCGAGTTTTGTGTTGTCTCCAAACTCAGCTTCCGTGGAAGCTGATGAGTTCTTCTGTTTGAGAATGTTGCTTTTTAAAGGAGTGGATTTTGGCAATGATGAAACTTTTGGTTGATTTACCTGTTTCTTGTTATTGCTACCATTTGAAAATTTCTCATAAATTATTTCATTATCTGGAAATTCTGGGAGAATCACTTGTGGGGAAATTTCTTTGCTTTTACTTTCAAATAAAAGAGCCAGAGAGTCAACATTGATAATTTTCTCGGATTCAACAATGTTTATCTGACCCTTTTCATCATCTTCAACTTGTGACTGAATCTTCTTCTCCGAGCTTCTAGGAATAATCTCCTCAAAAGATTCAATTCTTTTATGAGCTGGTGAGCGAGTCTCTGAAACAATGTTCATGGAATCATTAAGCAACCCAATTTTCTTAGCTAATGATCCGGTTCGCCGCTCCAGTTCTTCTGAAACCATGAACTGTGGCGAAGATACAGCCCTTCGATGTTTGGATAATAAAGTTAACAGATTAGTATTCACAGAGTTATCAGATATCCCAACTTCCTTTGGCTGAATATTTTGCTCCACTACTTTGTCTTTACCAGAAGGCTCCATCATAATCAACATTTTTTTCTTTGTGTCAATACAAGTTGGACCTTTCACAAAATCAATACTATTTGCCATGAACCTTCTAAAAGTGAGATTTTTTTCCCCGTGTTCAGACCCGTGTTTCCTCCCATACTTGCATAAATTATGGCAGGAACCTATAGGTTCACTGAGATATCGAGAGTGAACTTTGCCGAAACTATTTGAAAGCAATAATGGACTGCGACATCTTATCTTCACCCCATCTTTCGACATTTTATTCGATGAGTTCAAGGAGATGACTTCCGATGCCACATTGTTGTTGTCCATTTTAGAACATCATTCGTAAGGGCGAAACATTTGAACAAGCAAATAACTTAAGTTCTGCAATGTCAAAAAAAACACACCTGGAAGGTCAAGCAACATGTGATCATGTTTTAATAGAGGGGACATTTACATGCATATCATTCAATTCCTAAATATTGACATATCTAACACCTAAACTTTACTTTCTACATTTATATCACCCAAATCTTTCGAAATACCACAAATACCACATACCGCTAGTATAACTTTTAAAAAGTGAAATACATTCTTTCATACGTAAATGTAAGATGGTATGTATTTAAGAATTAAATTATGGGTGTTAGATATATAAATATATAGGATTTTGAGTGGTATGTATGTAATTTGAGTGCTATGTATATAAATCTTCCTTTAATAGAATTTGACTATCATGCAAACGAAAAAGGAACAGAGAAGGGGGCAATGTAAAACTAACTGAAAAATCTTTCATTCTCTTTCATAAGACAGCTAAGAATAGATTATGACTGCAACAGCAGATATTTAAAAATATATACCAATTCAAACTAATAATAATGATCTGCTTTGTCTTGACATATTAAAGCACCCTACATGGTTAATAAAAACAACATATGTCGAGCTGTGGGGAAGAGAAAATACAAGAGGCCAGTGGTTCTTCAGGCTTCAACAAATAACAGTATATAACATATTGAAAACACAAAAATAATTATGAAATCATGCTGATATTACTCTAATTTCAGAAGGTAAAGATGATTGATTGCAAAATAAGACTTCTGCAATACATGCTTAACAAAGCTTGTGTTGATTCTAGGATTGATAATTTCATTCAAACCAGCTTAAAATAATCAAAGAAACAAATCAACGCTCATAGCTTAATCTCTGCAATAGATTTAGGCAGGATCATATGAAAACAAGACTACATAATCTTAAAAACAAACGAAAAAAAAAAGTAATTTTTTTTATAATATGTTACCTAAAAGCCGCTAGCAAAATATCGCTGATGAACCCTAATACCAAGGAGCAATGTACAAAATGAAACGAATGATATGCCTGACAGAAACTAAATCTGCAAACACTGAAATCAATCGATAAGCACTGGGATACGATAAGCCAGGATCAAAAACAGAACACTTTTGGTGCTCACTGAAGTAAGTAAGGGGTTTTTTATATAATATATTAACAAAATATTACAAATTCCAATCACCTTCAGTTCACGCTTTCAATAGACAAAAGAAAAAAAAAAACATTGAGTTTGGTGAGCTGCCATAGAAAAGGAGAGAAAAAACATCAATTTTAGAAGTAATTCCTCCTAAGAGCAGAACGTATTCAAGCAAAAGAAACTGACAGTCATCCGGGAATAAAAATGACAGGAACAATAGAGATTGATCATTTCAAAATCCATTCAACGCCATAAAGCAGTCCCTCAAGATCCACTCACCACAATTTTCAAAAAGAAAACACCGTTTAATCGAATCCCGTTCGATTTCAAGAACAGAAGCAACAACAAAAGCCAAGCTTTCCAAGAAAGACATTTGTAAATCCCGTAGGAAGACGGATTTACGGGATTTAGAGAAGCCAAAGCGTGGGTCAGCAGAGAGAGAGGGTTACCTTCCTCAATAGTATAGTTTCTGGTAGGAGGGGAGCGGAAGGAGGAGAAAGATCGGAGTTTTGGAGGCCTTACTACGTCGAGATCCAATCCTTGCCTTCCCAGCTCTAACCGCGACTTGTATGGCGACCTTTCCGTCACAAAGGCGATGGTTTCAGGTGAAACCGGCAGGTAGCAAGGCTTTCGGGAAGGGGAAGGGGAAGGGGAAGGGGAAGGGAAGAGGGGGTATGGTTTTGCCGCGCGAGAAGAGAAGGGAGGGGGTAACTGAACGGTTAGCTTTTAGGTTGGTTAGCTGCCACTCCAAATCTCTTTTTCCTATTTAAAATATTTCAAATATATTATAATCATAATATTTTATAAATCGTTTACATTGTATTTCACTTTTTTAACAAATAAACGGTTCTTGCAATTGGACATAACCTGATTTCATCTCTGTTCATATGAATTATATGAGCTACCCCATAAAAAAAATAAAAACTTATTATTTTTTTTTTGTTTGAGAATAGTAATGGATTTTGATTAGAATGAAAAAGATCATACCTTTAACAATTTACAATAAAATGGCAGAATCAGAGGCCGAGATGAGCACAATAAAATCTCTCAGTATCACTTACTCTATAAATGAGAAAAATAAAAGGGAAATAACAGCAAAGCTAAGGCCTTTCAGACAAATCCCTCAACAAAAAAGTGAAGAAATGTGTATGCCAAACAATGGGGAAGGCCCAGCCTCCTCCACCATCTCTCCCTTCTTCTCCCCCAAGCGTAAAAGTAAGAAAAAAAAGCTTTTTTCCTTCTTGGAAATGCCAGCTTGGGGGCAGGGAAGGCTCACTAATAAAGTAACAAGAGCGCGAGAAATGAGGGAGGCAAACAGAAATGTCTAAAAGGAAATGTTGTTAGTTGTTTTGTTGGTTAGCTGCCAGTGATTTTGATTTACCCAAAATTGGTCTTTGTTTAGTCTATATTTAATAAAGGTTGTTCCTCTCATCTTCTTTTGTGGGGATATTTATAGAGAGAGAGAGAGATAGAGAGAGACTTATCTTGATCTATGAGGATATTTATGAGAGAGAGAGAGAGACTTATCTTGATCTATGAGGATATTTATAGATAATGATTAACGATATTTTGATAATTTAAAATTAGAAGATAGATAAGGTTTGACCATGCTCTACAAAGCATTATCTTTAGCCATATTTTACTTGATTTAATAGAACATCATATTTTAGTGTGAATGGTGTGGGATCAAAGATGATGTTGAATCTGTTTTTGCAATAAATTAAAAGATAAAATAAAGAAAATAGAAATAAAGACAAATCATATGTCAAACTTAATTGATTTGACCAATGGAGCTACATTCAGTATGTCTAAAGTTTCATTTAGATAGTATCCCATGATGAACAAGAGTGATTGGGAAAATTTATTTTAAAATTAATATTATATTAATTAATTAATTAATAATATAACATACCAATTTTAAAATAAATATCTTATTAAATAATTTTTTCATAATTACAATATTCTAACACAAAATTTCTCATCTAACAAGGCTATGTGACTTTTAGTTAATTGTTTTAATTCGGGGCTAATGAAATCAATTTATGGTTTATGTTTTTTTTAATGGAAAAGAAACTAAAAAAACTTATTTGTTTTTTAATTTTTAATTCTTTTTTTTACACAAATATGAACTCTTTTTTTTAATAAAAAATACTAAAATAGCTAAAAAGTATTTTTAATATTTTTAAATCATGATGCCGATGTCGACTCTTGACCTTGATCTTATAATTGCTTTGCAAAGATGGTTTTGAAACGGGTCAGGGGAGCTAAAATTAGGTTTATTATGCCATTAACATACTACTGCTCATTATGTTTATAGGAGTAAAGAGTTCTCTTTCAATTTTTAAATGAATCAACTTATGATATATGATAGAATGAATCAAGTTTAAGATTAGACAATCTCACTCTACACCACTAAAACTTGTGATGCTATCATCTCAATTAATTGGTCCCTAGGGTTTACATTGAGATCAATTTCACATAATCGAGATATTAAATTTGGGTCATTTTTTTGCCATGATTTATACATGAGACCCCACTTTTTTTATCAATTTTCATGAGTCAGGTACTAAATTTGAAGCACTGCAAAATTTTATTGCAAAACTGGCCACATTTGAATAGTCGAGAGACAATTCTAGAATTTAATTCTTACACAAGCATGGTACAATACTTTTGACACAATATAATTTACAGTGACCAGACCAAATAAAGACTTTAGTTCCAAGGACAACTAAACCAGTCTCAACATCATTCAATCAATCAATCAGGGTACACAAGTTTTCAATCAGATTAACCCATTCAAAAAAAGAAAAAAAAAACCAAAAACCAGAAACCAGATTCTGCTGAAGTGTACTGGAAATTAATACAGAAATCCATTGATGATAAATATTATGCAAAAGTATCAAAATGCGTCACTAAAACACGTCACATTTGAATTCTGCAGGTTTGCTACAACACATAATATTTTGTAGCAGCTAAAATTGCATTACCAAAGCACATAAGATTTGAATTATGCATGATTGGTAGATGCCATAATGAGCCAACTCGAAACTTGTTATCTCTGGAGCTCAATTGATGATTTCCCTGATGAGCCAATCCAAGCTTGGGTATGCAAAGTAAAGTATCAAGAAGGAAGGCAGGGCGAACAAGATTGTAACGAGAATGTACAGAACCAGAATTGCAGCGCTAGCAGGTATGGCGTAGAGCACGATGAGGAGAAAAACGATGACCAGAGGAAACTTAGCAGTCAACTGAACGAAGAAAACAAGGGATTTCCTCAACGATGCATTGATCCTCTCCGCATTAAGGTACTGAACTAGCGAACTGGCTTGATCCGGACTACCTGCTTGTGATTGTTGGAAAGGTCTTCTAGCATTGTGATTCTGATATCCGTTGCTTCCGAGAAACAATCCGGCATTAGAGTGCGGGGCGGGTTGATGACTTGCACAAAGCGAAGAATGTGACTTACGCCTGTCACCGTTCAAGCTCTCAACCATCCAAAGAAGGAAGAAGTTCTTGCGAGGAAATTTGAGATTTCCCTTGTAAACTAGTCGAAAGGACAAGAGATTGCACCAAGGACAGGAAATGAAGAGAGGGAGCTGGATGGGAGCGCTTGGAAATTTCACGACAGCGCACTGAAGTCCCAAAACACAGTTTTTGCAGAGGGTGTGACCACACCATAAAACATAAGGCACATTCTCCACAATGTTGAAGGACTCCAAACATATTGGGCATTCCAGGCCTTCCTCTCTGCTGGTGCAGGAGGAAACTTCATCATCAGAGCAGTCTCCATTTGAAGAACTAGGGCTTGGTTTAATATTATTGTTTGAGCCTAGACAACCAGTGAAACTCCACATTGCAACAGAAGAAAGGCGTTTGTCCTACGGAAAGAGCAGCATGGCAAAGGTTGCGCGGTTACTGGGCAGATTCAGCTTGGGAAGCATATCTAAAGGGCAATTGACAACCATAAAATGCGCAATCAAGCAAGAATATAGAACTTCAAAGCAAGTTCAAATAAAAATAAAAAATGGAGAGTTAACAATGATAAATAAATCAAACTTGTGTTTCAATGTTATCTTCATATTTATTAAATCTAGTTTCATGGATGAGAAAAGAGATTTTAGTTCACGTCAAGCACCACATATGAAAATCAAATGCAAACCAATAAAATAGAGCACAAAAGAAAACTTCTTTAATCGGAATACAACCTAGGAAGTCACAACAGGAAAAAACGACAAATAATACATGGAATGTCCATTATTCAACTGCGATACAACAAAAAAAATGAAATATAAATTAAAAGCTTTGAGTTTAAGTGCGCCAAACAAAGGGCCATAAACATTCAAGTTACATTTTCCTAATGTAGTCATATTCTTGATATATATTATTTACAAGTGAACCTGAATGGGATAAAATTTCTTTGATTCCAGAGTAAAAGCAACTTTGAGGGCATTCTTGGTTGTATACAACAATCCCATGGCTATAAATGATTACAGGCAAAGTGCATGATGAATCGATATAATTATAAAAAGAATAATCAATATCATTCCTTTAAAAAGTCAAAAATAAAATTAGTAGCAAGAAAGCAGCTTCAGCATTCAAATGTTTGGTTCATAGACTGATCTGAATCAGATCTTGTAAGCAACACACTGTGCATACATTGAACACGTTATCCAAGTGGTCCGGGCTGATGTATCTAAGGCATCGGTCCCCATCCAAAGCAGTAGTCATGCACACACTGATCAATTAGTTCCAGCCCAGAACGGTGAGACAATGATGAAAAGGGTGAAAGGAGCCTGGCACAGTTCAAACTCCCAACTCAACAAGTCATAAGGCCCGCCATAGTGAATGGGGAACGATCTGACCTAAAGGCCACTTTTTTTCCATCGGTGGTTCATCGACGGGCACCATCGACCATAGGTTAGAGTTCCCACAAAGTATGAGACACAGGACACCCACGGACCAGATGCTCAGGAAGAGATGGCTTTGTATCATCTATAAACCCCCCATATGCAGATTATCACTAAAAGCTGGATTGGATGAGTATGAAGCCTCTTTTCCCTGAGAAGATGCGTAAGGATCTATTTTCCTGCCTTATTTCTGGTATAAATAAAGAGTTCAACAGTAGGAAGAAGGATCCCTCCAGAAAGCGGATTCCTTCTCTCTCTCTGAGGATCTCTCACCAGCACCTCAAAGGGCTTCACTTGTCTCTTATTTTTTTATTTTTAGTTCTAGCCTTAGATGTGCTCATTGGCAAATCCGAGTTCAACACACACCATAGTGAATGCCAAGGCCACCCACAGTAGCAAAACAATAATAATAATAATAATAATAATAATAA